ACATATAGCAACTAAAGCTTATATTATTTATTCGTTCAACAAACATTGTTTCCTGAGGTAGAGTTACCTTAAGCCTCCTTATATGCATGGTATTCCAAGATCCTGAGAGGGGCCCTTGCAATGGCTTCAAAAGATGTTTGTAAAATTCACAAAATGTATTTGTATATTTTTTATCCTAAGATCTCCCTTCTCCCACCCAGTGGCCTGAGCTACATGCCCGACAGACCCCAGATTCGCTCCTTATTGTAATTACTAGGCCAAAGCAGAGTAGTTATTCAGGTGCTTTCCTGTGACACACAGCTTAAAGTTCTTTTGCATTAAAGTAAACTAAATCCACTAGCAGCAGTTTGTCTTCCTTTCCCCAGTTTTGTTAATAGGCAGTATGAAATCTGTTTTTTTCAAAAGTTAAATGAAAATACTACACTTTTGCCACCAGACAAAGGATAGTGAGTTATAGTGAGTGCCTGGTTCCTTTGACAGTAACAAATCCTGACATTCTCCTTTTGACACATTTGGTGTTCTCTGGGGCTACTTCGCTCGGTTGACTAGAACCTGGTACTAAGGAAACCATGTGGGTGTGTGAGCTGCAGTATTCATTGTCAAAGTCTAGACTCCCAGCCAGCTACCTCAAAATTGCTTGCTGTTGATCACAAGTGAGATGAAGACTGGAAGTTCTCAGGGATGTGTGAAAATATTTTTCCCTGACAGAGGATAAACAAAACAACAGTAAACAAAGCTAACGTTTGACAGTCTTATCTATAAAGAGTATTTTTTTCTCATGCAAACCATTCTCAAATAGGTGGGTGTAGTTTAGTAGTTTGTCACTGAGGGAGTTTCCAGGAGATGTGTAAAACCCTGTGGTTGCCCCATCATCTGGTTGTCTTAAAGCTGTCCCCTTAACATTCCTACTTTGCTTTAATAGGCTTTAAGGATTTGATCCCTATTCGTTTGAGTCCTTATTAACAGTCTTTTCTCTTGAACTATTCTGTGGATACCGAGCATATTAACAATTCGCTACTCCCTCGGAACTTTGCTGTTTGTGATAAGAAGTTAGATTTCACCACACGATCTCACTTGTGTATGAGTTATGAGAAAGCTGTTCCCATGGATGTAGGGAGTAGAACCATGGTTAATAGAGCCTGGGGAGGGGACAGGAGAAAGGGGATGAGGAGAGAGCTTAGCAAATGGGTACAAATTTATGATTAGATAGGACAAATAAGCTCTGAAGTTCTAGCACATTGTAGGGTGACCATAGTCAATGATAAGGTAATATATATTTCAAAATAGCTAGGAGAGAAGATTTCAGATGCTCTCACCACAAAGAAATGATCATTGAGATGGTAGTTATGCTAACTTTTCTGGTTTGATCACTGAATAATATATACATATATTATATACATATTATATAATATACACACACAATACACTGTTGCATAATATATTACATTTATTACACAAGTATATTATGTACACATGTAGCACATAATTGTAACCATAAAGATACACAATTATGCATCAAATTCTAAAATTTTCTTAAATAAAAAAATTTTAAAACTAGTGACTTTTTGATCTTTAGTATCATGAAACCATTTTTCATAACTCTTCATTGGGTACCTTCTGTTACCAATGATTTAGTCATTTCAGTGAATTATATGTGTGTAATACATATATGTATATAGAAAATACACTGTGCTTTTTATAATTTATGATCTAATATTTCACATCTTTATCCAAAGACCATTTGAGAACAACCATCTGCTTAAAGTCTTTCTCAGTCAAGAGAAAAACTTAGGGCTGGGGATGTAGCTCAGGAGTGGAGCATTTGCCTCGTATGTATGAAGCCCTGGTTTCTATGCCTAATGCCACAATAAAAGAAGAAAAGAAAGAAATACATATATGGATTTATTCAATCTCTTTGCCAGTACTTTTGAAGTTACTCTTGTTTCTTCTACACAGTGATTTTTCAATTGGATTTTTTCATTTGGTAAACCAAAAATTAATCAATGTTTAGGAATTCCTTTTCACTGAACTCCCTGAATATTTATTGAGCATATATTTTGTACCAGGCATTAAATGGGTAAGGAGTGAATTAAAAAAGAAAAACATGAAACAGTCTCTTCTCTCTAGGAATTTATCATCTAACAATAGTGAGGAATAAACACTTTTCTGATCTGCTTAATTTCTGGTTTGCTTCTGATCCTCCATATTTTTATAGTTTTGGATGTTCCTTCTTCCAACAGTAGAATTACCTGTCTAGTAGCTGTGCAAGATTTTGTTTCAGTTTCTGCTCTTTTGGTGGTGGTGGTTTGTTCAGTCCTTGATATTTCACCACATAGCACCCTTTCATCCTGGACTAGCTTTGCCATGTTTACTATCCAGGGCTCCTGTGATTTCCTTGTTCTATTCAGCTCTTCTTATCCACTCCTCACCCACATTTTGTTTCAGGCACTTTTTAAAAAAAAACTGGGACACAGCTTGACTTTTTAAAAAATTACTTTGTTGGCGTATGACTGACGCACAAAATGCTGTATACATTCAATGTTTACAATTCGATGAGCTTGAAGACAAGCATACATCCACCTCTGGAAGACAATCCAGACCACAAACTTGATTTTTTAAAAAAGGTTTCCTTTCCTATTGGAATAGTAAAGTTAATGGAATTGTCACCAACAAGGAACTTATAGATTGGTTGCTGTTCTTGTCTCAGAACATTCCAGATTGCCTTAATTATGTGGTCTCAAACTGCCTGCCTGAGGAGGAAGTCAATTGTTCTTTTCCTCTGCCGAGCTGTGGTTGAGGTGCTCCGTTACAATTCCTGTCCTCTGTGGCAGCGTCTCCTTCCACCAAATACAGGCAGACCGAAACCACTGTTCACGCATCCTTTGTGCCATTCTTCACAAAATTCACAGTACTCACAATAATCTATTGATCTTTCTCCCACCTACTTTTAATTCTTTATCTTATTTGTAGCCATCTCTCTGTTAAGGTCAGAAAAGCCAAAAGTCTTGGTGAGGACAATTTTTCACAATTGACCCTTGAACTTTTTTTTCTTTCTCAGCTGTCTCTAGGGCCACAGTGATTTATTATTCATTAACAAGTATGACTGTTCATAAGCACCGCTATCAGTTTGCACGTGTTTATGAAGCTGACTGTCAATTACCGAGGCAGCAGTTCACTCTTCTGGAGGTTATATGGGCTCCTGAGTAGCCTGCCTTTTGGCCACGTCATTCCCCGTAGAGCATCACTCAGAGAGTTTGGAAACATCAAGTAAAAGCTGTGAAACAAAGCTTATTCCCTGGGGCTGGTAGAGCCTGATAGAAATAAAAATTATTCATTTGTGCTTTTGAATTTTTGAAGGCTAGAAATGAACCTGATGATGGTAAAAGGGGCTGGTTTCCTTTTATACTTTATAAGTGCTTTCAAATGAGCAATAAAAAGAAGGCATTACGAGTGCTAGTAAATTTTAAGAGTGCTATGTTCTTGGTATTCAAACTGAGTTAGTAAATTGTTACCAAATGTTTACCGTAGTATGAAAGAAAACGTTCAGTTGTCCACTTGTGGGGCAGGCATTTAGAAGGAAGACCTCAATTGTTCTTTGGACTTTAGCCCAGAATGCCATTTAAGTGACGTAACACATTTAATATTCATCCATCAATAATTGTAACTGATCTTGGATTTTATTGAGGTAACTACAAATAGATCTACTCTGTTGGCAAGGCATCATGATTGATGTAGCATAACAGTAAATTTTCATTTCATTATACTAGTTTGTTCAGCAACCTGTTTTAGGTAAAAAGGTAGCATCCCTAAAATGTGTGTAAACATCTATGTGAGGCATAGTTTTCCTTCCTTCTTGTCTTTTTAAATGTTTTATGACATATAATATAATAATTTGATACATGTATAGAATGTGTAAAGATCAGATCAGACTAATTCGCATTTGTATCTCAAACCTTTGTCATTTCTATGCGGTGGAAACGTTTGGACTCATCTATTGATTTTGATATACATCAGAAATTGTTAGAGACTATACTCGAGTGATCAAACAAGATACCTGCACTTCCATGTTTGTTGCAGCACTGTTCACAATACTCACTATACTAAATCCATCAAGGTGTCCATCCGCAGGTGAATGGATAAACAACTGATGAGTTTCACTGAATTGCTTTATTATTCAAATGTGCTCCAGAATCCTTTAAGACCAATATATGGTTTGCTCCTAAACTTTTACCTTTATAGGATTACAACCACTATATCCCCACTGCTAATCATAGCACAGTTATGTATAAACAGTTAAGACTCCTAAAAGAATATTTTAGTGAATAGTTTAGGATTAATGTATAAAGCCATACTTCTTTAACTTGTGGAATCTTACCAACAATATGAAGTTCACATCAGCAGATTTCTATCTAATTAATGTTTTACTGTAGAAATTGGAATGTTTTCATTTTTGTAATCCTCTAGTACAGTGAATTTTTCTGTAAATGGCTAGATAATAAATACTTTAGCCTGTGTGGAACAAGGGGCAAAGGTGAAGATATTATATAGGTCCTGTATACCAAGAAAGAAAACAAATATCCACAATTTCTTGTGATAGAGCTCTGCTGAAGAGCACAATGTCATCTGGGAATAGACATCAAAAAAATTTCATATAATTTTCATGTGTTACTAAGTGTTATTGTTCTTGTAATGTTTTTCAACCATTTCAAACTGTAAAATGAAGGTTGCTGGCCATACAAAAACAGGGGCAGTAAGGATTTGACCAAGGGGCCCTGGTTTGTGGATCCTTATTCTCTTAGCTTCTTCAGCAGTACAGAGTCCATAACCCTGATCCACAGATGAGTGTCTTGGGGCCCTTGGCCCGGAGGTCAGTGCAAAAACATTTTGTGCATACAGAAGTTCTGCTGTAAATAAGGACTGCAAGCTTTTGTCTGACTCTTAGTGAAGTCTCAGACTCAGATTTGGGAGCTACAGTAGGGGACAATTTCATTCATTTTCAGGAGGCAGTTCCTGAGTGCCAAGTAGCTCGTAGACACCGTGCTGGTCACTGGAACACATGGGAATTCCTGTCACCCGACGTAATTCTAGTAGAGACGCTGAGAGGAAATAATTGTCAGGTAATTACTTATTCATAAAATCTATTGTTTCCACTATTCTTGTTGTTTTACCTCTGGTTCTGGGAGGAAAACACTTCTCACATTTTGAAGTATTTAGTAAATAATTTAGGCTGAGATTTAAATGTTTGAGACATATTGAAGTGTCCAGACTGTATTAGGCTATAAAGAGAAATCTGAGTCAATGTATTAAGAACCTTTGTTTTTCTTAGGGCTGGGAGTGTACGTCAGTGGTAGACTTTGACTAGCACACATAAGGTCCTAGGTTCAATTCTTAGCACCCCGCCCCCAAAAAACCTTTGTCTTTAAAATAAAGATGAGTCTACAGATAGGTCCGTGTTAGCGCAGCTAACATCAAGACTTATGATACATAGGCAGAAGCAGGATTAAGTTGTTTATTAAAGCTGAAAGTGTGAGCTTGCAGACTGCTTAACTTAACCTGTAGCTGTTAGTCAAAGCTGAGACCTTCAATGCTCATATTCGAGAAATGGAGTAGTTACCCTGGGGCAGAGGTGGTGGTGAGAAAACAGAAATGGTTATTTGAAAATAAATGAGCAGCTCAGGAGTTCCTGCCTCTGCCCCAGGGCTGTGAATGGAAGAACTTGCTTTTTTCTCAATAAACATTTATAAAATGAAATTTATACTCAGGGAGAAAATAGTCATAAAAGCTATGATACTAATTTTAAAATGTAAAGATAGCATAGTAGAGTTTATGATGAAATCGTTAAAAGATATAAACATTTTCAGCAAGCTCCTTAAATTTTATATGTAGACTGCTTATTTACAGCTTCTTTTTGTATATGCTTGGAGCTTATAACACATCTATGTAGGTTAAAATATCTTCCAAAGAAAGCAGAAATTAAGCAGGAGAATTTTTGTGATGAGTCACCCCTCCAGAAAAGGAAAAAAAAATTACAGAATGAATTCACAATGCCATAAAAAAGCATTGCTTATATGTACTTTAGGCCTAAATATTAATTGCTCATTAATTAAATTAATTAATATTAGTTTGCTGGCATGTAATTGCTTTTTAATCTGAAAAATCCACTCACTTCCTAGTCTTTGTTACAGTTCAGTAGTTAATAGATGTAATAATGGTCCTTTACCAGTTTTGTACAGATGAAAGCAAAAAGTGTCCAGGAGAATGGGATGGCAGCTTCAGTGAGAAAGTTACCGCAAAAGTCCAAGAGAAAACAAAGGAGACTATTCTGTGCTTCAAATAAGGAGTTTTTGCCTCCAAAGATTCTTGCTGATTTAGACATGATCATGAATCACTGAATTAGTACAGACTGCCTTGTTGCCGAAGCATGCCTGGGTGGTTGTTTCCAAGAAATTTTTTTCCTGCTAAATAAAATAATGTCATATCAGCTAATTCTTGGAGCTTCACATCTCATTTAATGAGAAATTTAACAGGTCCCTGTAGCCTCTTTATACCACAAGACCTGGTTGGACAGAGACAGCCTTAGGCTATTTGTCCTAGAACCTTAAAGCCCCTCTTTCCTGGCACCTGGAAAGGTGTTGCCATTTTTCCTCCTAAGCTCTTGGTCACTGTGTGTTCTTAGGTCACACTGATGACGCTTACCTGTTCTTTGGAAATGGATTTTTTCAGTGCTTCTTAATGTGCCTATCAGCTAATTTGATAAATTCACCTAAGATAGCATGCTAATGGGAGAGTGTTTCCATCTAAACCAAATGTAGCTTATTTCAGGGGCTTCCTAAGAAATGCTGTGCTAGTGAAATTTCAAGTAGGTGTGGACAGTGTGACAGGGAGACTCTATTGCCCCTACCAGACTCCACAGTTTCCTGTTCTGTGTATTCAGAACTGTTCCTATTAATGTGACTTAGCAAGTGTGGGCACAGCTTGATTACTTTTTAGCTGAAGAACTAGAAAGCAAGCAAGAAAGAACACATGTAATTAGTAATACAGGGTGAGACACCACCACTTATATAATAGCTACTGTATTTAGTCCCTACTGGAAATATACAACAATTAATCAGATGTATTCATTCACTAAACTGACAAAATTTAATTTAAAAACTTACTGAATATATCTGCCAATCAGTCATTCACTAGGTATTTGCTACTATGGACAGATAAGGGAGCTATCAAAAAAATTATAATCACATTGAGAAAGAAAGATATATGTAGAAGAAACTGGAAAGCAGTACAATAAAGAGGTCAGTTATACAGTTACAGATAATAAAGGCACTGCACATACCCAACTCTGAATCCATGACTTCTAAAGATATGAAAGCCAGTAACCACTCTGTGTTTCTAAGGCTTTTCTTTGCAAGTTATGTTCTCATTTATGTACCATATAATCCTGTTATCTTATCTCTTCTTGCCTAACAGGGATTCTTGTAGCGTTTCTTGGGCCTCCTTTTGAACTGCATCATCTGACCAAGTAGATAAACACAAGGCTAGGCAGCTCATATTCATTTGTGAAACAGGGCCTCTACTTTAAAAAATAACAAAATACAACATCCATTCCAATCTCATTTTAGATAGATGGCAAGAAGTTGTTAAAGCATACATTTTTTCTATGGTATGCTTTTATTTTTCAGTTCCTGGCTGTCTTCCATAAATGTTGGTAGGCCAAGGAAAGAAGCAAGGCCAGTGTTTGGTAGTTGGACAGGTGGGACCTATTGTAGGGGCGGGGGCAGTTTTAGAATCAAGCAGTACTGATGGGAAAGGGTAGAAGGAAGGCGGTCTTCAGCAGTACCTGAAGTCCACCTGCAAAGTCCATGCCTATATGAGGAGATGGGAGATTATATATTTGCTGTCACTGGTGGTATGGTTTTTAGGTTAATAAAAGGGGGGAAATAATAGAGAAAATACATTAGGAGCAGTGAGATTTAATTTGGCAACTTCGTGACTGTTAAAAGCATGTCACTTCTTTTATCAGCTTACCTATAAATATTTCTTGAAAAGATCTGTTGGTTTATAAACAACTTGTATATGGGAATAGATAAACTAAAAATAAGTCAAACCGAAGAAACAATTTTGGTACCGCTCAGGAAATTCTGATATTTCTGAATGAATGCCTTCTTGTATAATAAGAATCTGTTCACTGCTAGCATCTTTTTTCCTTTTCTCTTTTAAACATACAGACAATTCCTGTGACTCCGTCACTTACGGCTAGTCCTACCATGGCGTTCAGTCCATATGTATCTCACACTGGGATGAGCCTGGTTCCAGCCGAACTTTTACCAAATGCACCTGTTCTGATTTCTGGAAATCCACCTATCCCATTGCCAGGAGTTCCTGGTCCAAAGCTGATGCGTTCAGATAAACTGGAGGTATTTGTGTGGAAATAGATAAATATTTCTAAAATGAATGTTGACCTTATGCATAAAGTAGCATATCTGTAATACAATGTGTTGAGTGTTTTAAATAAGTATGGCCAAGATTTTAGCTTATGGAGTACAACCTTAGAAAAATGTTAAACATTTTACTGCCTCAGTTATACCTTGTTAGGAAGCAATAATTCAGTCACACAGTACGCCAAACAATACTTTGTCACCCAGCCGCAGACCAGGCTATGACACAATAACTCTGGGTGGGGATGCTCCATGTACACTGGTTCCAACTCTTGGGATTACTTTATTAGTGAGTCTTTATTTGCTAGAGTTTCATTGTAAGCTGGAAAATATCAAACCTAATTCTGTACAATTACTGAATGTAAAGCTATATGAATGCAGAACGTAAATCTCATAGTGTCTAGGCCTCTTGCTCTATTTTAAGACTGATATACTATGAAATTTCCCATAACATAAAAAAATCTAAAGGAAATTTCCAAGAGCTTTGTGATGTTTTGAAGTTCTTTAGTTTTCCTTTGTCATTCTTTGCACATTGAAATAAACAACTAATCGATTTCTTAGAAAGTCATTTTTGTTGGCAGCCTCTTAAATGCCTGGTAATGTATTGTAATGGAATCTGATTGTACATGTAATTCAAGCATGGCTCACAGTTTGGCTGTGGAAACCCACCAGTGCATTACTGTGTGATAAAAGACTCGTCTTGACCCTTAAAAAAACTAATTGCCCTTGAGGCTTGTATTAATAGGAGAATTAAAATTGGTTTTCAGTAACAGTCCTAAGTACTTAGAGGAATGGAAATTCTTCTAGAAATAGAAGTTGTTTACATCTCATAGCGAGTATGGCTTTGCATTATCTTTCGTTTCTGTAGCTTTTACTGAAATAAGTGACAAAATATATATGGTTACTATTATAACCACTGGCATAGTAAATAAAATCCAGTCAGCTTGTGATGTGTGTGTCTGTTCTCCTCTTTAAGGTGTGCCGTGAATTTCAGCGTGGAAACTGTACCCGTGGGGAGAGCGATTGCCGCTATGCTCACCCTACAGATGTGTCCATGATTGAAACAAGTGATAATACTGTGACTGTCTGCATGGATTACATCAAAGGTCGCTGCTCCAGGGAGAAATGCAAGTACTTTCATCCTCCTCCTCACCTGCAAGCCAAACTCAAGGCTGCTCATCACCAGGCGATCCACTCAGGTGCCACTGCAATGGTAAGACCTGCACGCTTGGGCACTCTGTGTTAGGGGAAATGATTAGTATGTCCTCCAATTTGTCTGATGTTCTGTATAACCTTATCCAACTATCCATACTGTCGGATAGTCACAAGTGGACCTTTAGATGAACAATCAAGGTTATAAGCTAGAAAATGATAGAATCTATCTACTTTATTTACTAAGATTTTCAAAGATAATTATTTAAAAGCTTTACTAATGATCTTAGCCTACTGTGCTTCTCCTATTTTCAGAGAGGGTAAATTATATGATTTAAGCAACAAATTATTTTTCAGTAGTTGTTATAGTCTAACCACTCTTAATATCTGAGAAAAGTGGAAAGTTGCCTCTCTGCTCTATGAGTCACTTCCATAGGTACATTTTGCTGTTCACATTCTTAATGCCTTTTGAAAACAGACCACTTGAAAGATGGTACATTAAATGGGGCCTAATTTCCCAAAGGTTAAGGGTACCTTTCCTTGCTGGAGGCACTGTGCCAATAGAGGGGAGGACAAAAGGCCAAAGCATGCTGAGGCTGGGAGGTGGGACGTTTTCTGCGGGACAAGTGGAGGAGGCCTAGCTTTGAGTTTCCCTGGCAAGTCAGCTTTGGGTAAAAGTTAATTGTGCTTAATAGCATTAAAAGGCAGAAGACAGGAAAAGTATTTGAGTAACACTGCACTGTGAAAGGTTGAGAAATGAGAATTAGAATTACTCAAGTGTGTCACAGCTGATGTTCTATGTGCTGTTGATTTCTTTTGCTGCCTCGAACATTTGTCATGTAACAGGGTATAACAATTCAATAAGGGACAAAACCTTAAGGAAATCTTAAGTTTGAGCTGTGGAAAAAGCACCTACACTACCCTGAAGCCCAGTAAATGCAGTGTGAATCAGCAGGTAGTGGCACATGTCTGTAATCCCAGCACTCAAGAGACTGAGGCCAGAGTATCTCCACAAGTTTGGGGCCAGCCTGGGCTACATAGTGAGTTCATGCCCAGCCTGAACTGTGTAGCAAGACCATTTCTCAAAAACAATGATGCATTAGAAGCACAGTCCCCTCATTTGCATATATGTTCAAACCCCTATGCCAGAGATCTTACCTTTTACAAAAGAATTATACCTCTTTTCAAACATCCCTATTGGCAAGATTTTTCTCGTACTGAGTTGAAACTTATCTTGTTGCAACTGAAACTTCACACATGTCAGCCCCTATCCCATACCTTGTTGATAAATGCAGGGAATATCTAAATCAAAAAAATCAAATTCTACTACAGCAGAAGACACATTGCCATTAATGCTCTTCAGAATATTTTCCCTCGCTTTAAATACACTTACTCCAATCATTCTTGCCAATTTCTGAAATCGTTCTCAAAATCCTTTTTTGTGCGTATCTTTTCATGGCTGCCTTGATGTCCTGAATCAATTCAAAATGTTTATGGCAATTTCGGTCAGATAAAACCATTATGGTCTGTCTTCATTTACCTTATTCACCAGATCTGGCACCTTGTGACTTGTGGCTCTTCCTCAAAGGCAAAATGACCACATAATATAAATGTTTTGAATTGATTCAGGATATCGAGGCAGCCATGATAGTACAATGAAAGACACTCATAAAAGACGACTTGCAGAACTCATTTTGTTTTGAAATTGTGTATCATTTTTATTGGTTTTTTTGTGTTATTTTGGTTTTGTTTTTGTTGTTCTTATTTTGTTTTTTTTTTTCTCTTTAAAATAAAAAAAGAGTGGCAAGAACCAGTGGATAAATGTATTCAAAGCAAGGAAGAACATTTTGAGGGGGAATGATGGCAGCAGTCTTTTAATGTAATAAGCTTGAACATTTAAAAAATATTCACCATATTTCTACCTTACTCCATATATTAGAGTGACCACTCATGTCTGCTGCCTAAGGCAAGTACCCCAAATTTCTCTACTTGCCCCTCATAGGCTATGGTTTCAAGGACCCAGCACCTTTTTGGACAGGCTGCACTTTCTCAATACCCTTCCTCTTTCAGAACTGAATTCATTACTTTATGAAGGATCGTAGGTCCAAAGTAAAAGAAACTAACTTTCTCCTTGAGGTGGGCAATATAATCTGTTAATGAATGTTTAAAGACTTCACCAAGTATTTTTTTGTCTTAAATCCTTCAGAATGGAGGACTTTTAAACTATTAAAATAGCACATTATCTAGGATGTTCAATGCAGAGTTTAAACCTTTTATTTTTTTTTAAATCAATGTTTCTTGTTTTTTTGAGACAGGGTCTCGCTATGCAGTTCAGGCTATCCTTGAGCTCATTTTGTAGCTCAGGCTGGTCTTGAACTCACACAATCCTCCTGCTCAGCTGCCTGAGTGCAGGGATTACAGGCTTGCGCCACTATGCCTGGCCTTGGATTTTTTTTTTTTTCCAAAGACAACTTTTTACTGTTTTGACTAGGCTAAGCCCTAACCCCTGGGTTCCAGTGCCTCAGTCTTCCAAGTAGCTGAAACTACAGAAATGTGTCACAATGTCCAGTTAAGCAGTCAATTTTTTGATTACTTACCTTGATTTTAGAAAGAGTATGGACCTATTACAGGAGCAGAATGCGGTTTCCCTCCAAAAAATGAACAAACATACACACTGAATACATAAAGAATAGCTTGTTTAGGCCTTTATGCACCTGTATCCACACTCAGGCATGGGGTCCTCATATATATCTGATAGTTTGGGTGTGTTCCATAAAAGGCGTAAATTATATATCAGCCTCAAGTTTTCATTTAGGGAGCTAAAGATTGCATGCCTTCAATTGTTATTTGTGAATGCCTCACTGATCACAGTGAGGTCTTAGTGGTAAGGTCAAATTGACCCATAGGAACTTATAGGTAAGTCTGAATAAAGGAGGCCTTCATGAAGAAGTTTAATCTTTTTTATATTTTTAAGATTCAGAGTAGAAATGCTTTGGAAAAGGGGTATTTTTACCTTGCACATGGGTATAGCTCAGTTGACTTTGCTGAGAGCAGGTTGTATGAATTAACACATTCCCACCCGCTTGACTTCCAGCAGTCCAAGACACCTGGTAGTGAGACACATGAATTGTGTTAAAAAAAAGATTTGGAGGATTGATATTTATTTCATCTAGTCTTTATCAAGTTAAAGAGTTGGTGATAAGGCTGTTGAGGCCCTTGTCAGTGTTGATTAGAGAAATATTTAATAATAGTACCCACTAGGCTATGAAAACTAGGCACTGACATCTCAAGATAGACCCCAGCACTAAACAAGCAGTACTGTCTTATCTGGACCTACCAGGTGAATGTCCATCTAGGCCTTGCCCCAGTTTGTAGTTCACCAGGCAACACAGCTTTGGTGCTGGCTTTCTACCACTCTCTTGTCTTTCTAGAGAAAGAGGCAACTTCGATTTATAGCACAGGGAAATCTTTCCTTCCTACTGCACTAGAGATTGAATTTAAGACCATCACACACAGCTGCATCCCCCAAGTCTTATTTTTTTTGTTGTGAGATGGTCCTGCTAAATCACTAAACTCCTTAGGTTGGACTCAAACTTTGATTATGCTTCAGCCTTTCAGAGTGCTGCAATTACAGTCATGTGCCACCCATATCTGGCTCTACAGGGAAATCTTTTCAATAACCAGACAAAGAGTTTCCCATCCTACTCTCTTAAAATCTTTGGCAAGTCCGTTTCTTCTCATTGATAGTAAAATGCATATGGCATAATAAATTACGTTTTACAGTTAGTGATCTTAGTCATGACCTTTGTCATCTGGTCTTCCCAGATAAATTGAGAAAGTATATATGAGTAGAACTACTGGGTTTATTTCTATTTCATTTTTTAAGAGATGAAAATAAACCTAATATAGAAAGCAGACTTCTCACTCTGTGTCCATTGACCGCAGAGTTCCCAAAGGAAAATAAGAGATACTTTCAGGACTTTGTTTTCCTTAGGAATACGGCGGCTATGGCACATCCAGAATAAGTGTTCCTGTCTCCTTAAGAATTTGGAACACACCTAACTGTTGCTGAGACTTGTTTGTAAAGTAATGTTCAATTTGTTGAGGGGAAAAAATGTACAGTAATATTAAAATTCTCCACTGAGTCTGATCTGGGGGCAAGTTTGGGTATTATGAACACAGTGGAATTTTGGAAGAACTCTAGGCATGAAAGAAGGGCTTAAAATGCTGATAGGTTTCGAATAAAACCTTACAAAGACCTAACAAAGTAAATGGTGCGTACTAAAATGCACAGCAACCCTGTAACATGAGAACTGCCAAAATTTTGCTTAAACACATCTGGGTGAGGTAATTGGGAGGTGAAGAAAGATTCATTTGCTTTTACATGTGCGTTAGGAAATACACAGTTGTTGGATTTGAACCTGAGGTCTTTGTATACATTACATTTTGCTTCACAGAGCTACAATATTAATCTGTAATCTACCAAGATCTAATTTATTAGCTACATACCATTTATTTCCTAGATCCACATTGGAACTTTAACTGACAAATATCTTTCCTGCTATTTCTGCTGCTTCTGCTAATCTCATTTCTATAGATTAATAATGAGTATCAGTTAAAAGTTAATTATAAGCCATTTACTTACTATAAATTTTCTGTCACCTCTGGTACAAATGAGGTCAATATTAATGAATTTGAAAAGCTTTTCTATCCTTGTATTTTTATTTCCTGCTTTCAACACACTACACTTAATCCCAGCAGTTGGTTACTTCACCATGCAGGGGTTGTTTATTGGATATCTTGCTCAGTGGATGTCTTTGCAGAGAATTCCTGGGCCATATTTTAGGTTTTTTTTTTTTTTTTTTTTTCTTTTGGTACCGGGGATTGAACTCAGGAACTTGAGCTTGCCAGGCAGGTGCTTGTGACACTGAGCTATATCCCCAGCCCCCTTAGGCCATATTTTAAATAACTGGTGTTTGCTTGGTTTGAGTACAATTGTTACTTTCTCTAGTACTAGCGATTAACCCATCCCTCCCCACAGGCCCTACAGCCTGGTGGACTTCAACTGATACCAAAGAGATCTGGCCTTGAAAAGACCAATGGTGCCACCCCGGTCTATAGTCCTGCCGTTTTCCACTGCCAACAGGGTCTGGCTAACATGCAGGTTCCACAGCCGGCATTTATCCCTGCAGGTGAGAACATGGCTCTGGGCCCTGTGAATTGAAAGGGCTTGTGAATGTGTGCAGTGCGAGGCAGCTGCCAAGGGGCTTTCATAATGGGGATCCACATGGATTTTGATTAGAAATAAAATATGGCAATTATGTTTGAGCTGCTAGTAGCTAGAACAACTTACAGGTCTACGAGAAAATTAATGGTGAAGGCATTAACATTTTTTCTTTCCAGTTTTCTTGTATTTTTGCTTTTTATGATTGATTCACTTCGTTCAGTCTCAACTAATGCCTGGGCTCTTGGGTGTCACTTTCGCAGGTGGTGGTCAGCTGTCAAAATATATATCTCAGTTTCAGCATTGCAAAACCCAGTACTCCATATGCACCACATAGCTCTAATATACCAAAGGTAGTTCCTATAAAACCACCTTTTAATGTTTACTAAATATAATATGATGAAATATAGTAGATAAAAAGAGATACTTTCACCTCCCTTAAGTGAGTTAATATACATATAAATTTATTATATTTTCTGATACTTTGTGGCATATCTAATGTTACCTCCTACATTCAGTTATACGTAATAGCAAAACTGTTAAGTTTTGCAGCAAACTGAGTAGAAAATATCCAGCCAGAATTTTGTTCAAACAAATATTAGATATAGGCAACAATAATTTTGCCCATTGGTTCATTTAAGAATGATCATAAAATGTCTTAGGAATAAATTGAAAATACTAACCACTGGGAGTGTAGTAGAGGTTGTTTTGTTTTGTTCTGTTAGAATCCTAAGTGTACCAGTTTGGAAACTATTATTAAATGAGAATAACATCTGTTTTAAAATTTAATTTAGAAAGGCTGGTTAATTATATAAACATGCTAACCATATAGTATTGCATACTCAAACCTGGAAAAAATTGATTAATTAAGAAATCAATCAGTTAATTACTTTTGAAAAAGTCTTTAGCTACTGACCACAATAGTTCTTTATAACAGAGTTTAAATGATATGAGTTTTATACATTTATATAATAGTTTCTGAGGAGAAAAAATGGAATTCTTCAGCATATTTTCATACTATTTATAAAAAGGAACCACTGTTATATGATGATTTAGATTTTTCCCCAAAACTTATTGGGGGAAATTTATGTAATGTCAATGAAGTAAAAGAGAAAACCAATAAGGGCTGAAGTGACTTTACTTCTGGTATTTTTATTTCCTTTCAAAATTTGTGCTTCTTTACTTGTACCTTGGCTGCTTATCATTTGTCTCATAACTGTAGCGCAAGAAGCCTAGCCAAGATGGTTGAATGTGAAAAAATTTACATTATTCATTATAGGTTTTCTTAATTAGGTATTTTGTTTAGAAGTTAGATTTCTTTTTCTTTCTTTCATTTTTGTTTTGCCAGATTTGGCCAATGTAAAAGCTAGATTTACTTGTAGAAATGTCTGAAAAATCTGCTTTCTGTTCATTTCTGCAGAATAAAAAATCTGTGTGAGACCCCTCTTAATGGAAACCTTTTGCCATAGGTTCATTGTCAAATTCTCAATTTCAGCAAGATGAAGGAGGCAGTGGTAATAGATTCATACTCTAAATAGAAAAACAGGCACCAGATATCAGAGCCTGGCACATATTTTGAAACAAATATGTGGTAGATGTGTAATTTAAGTGAGGTAATTCCCTTAAAGAGAAATTAAAGTTCATTTCTTTTTACTCAAGAATTCAAGAACTACTTTAATTAACTGGGTTTTGTGATCTTAAAGCTAATCTGTAATTATAAGCATGGGAGATTCCTGGATTTGCATGTGCTGATTAATTGATATTACAAAGAAAATATCTTTCTAGTTAAAATTCATTTCTATCTGTAAAGCCTTAATAATGGAATCTCTCTTTTCTTTACTTTCCACGCTTTTCTGCATGGTGTACAGGGCCAGTTCTGTGCATGGCACCCGCTACAAGTTTTGGTAGGTTTTGTACAAAAATTCTCACTTTCTTCTAATCTGAAAAATGTGTTTTTCTGCTGTGTCCATGAAAGAGATGAGTGACTGATGTGACTGGACATTTTCTGATTTAAGTTTGAATATTGTGTTTTGTGTTCCACATCTTTATGGAATCAAAACCATCCTGCTCTCTCAAGTCCTAGTTGGTTGCCACTGTGGCCAAATACAGACCATTCCATTTCTCTATTTCTGCCCTAAATTAGCAACTGAAATATTTTAAAATGCTTTTTTTGCTAGCCAAACTGGAAAATTTAAATTTTAGATTTAGATCTATTATTTTTGAAATTGTGAACTATTTTAGTGTGTAATTCATACAGTACAGTGAAACAGTTCTTTCCCACAGAAGTTGTCCATGCTACCCAAACCATTCGGTAAGCAAATGTTAATAATGACTTGAGCTACAGCATTCTGTAGTGTTCTGGAATGAATTTTGTAGTGTTCTGAGATGAAGTTCCATCTGCACAGGCACTAGGCACAGCAAAATCATATCAAAAATGGAGAGGTTAAATGGTTTATAACACACAGATCCTTTAGTTAACCACCAATACAATATGGTAGCCATATCTAAGCCATTTTTATATCATTCATATTAAAGAAGATGAGAAAATGAGGGAGGAGTTCACAGCTCCTAGGGTTCTCCTGGAGACCAGGAACAGATTGTGGAGACGATAGGTTCGTTCAACGCAGGGAAGAATGAGCCCACCCTAACTCACTCCAGCATCTCATCAGTCCAATTCATCCCATCCTTCTCAGGAGTTGACAATAGCTTGACCCCCATCCGACTGGTAAACTAGAGTGGTTGCCGAGCCTGAAAGGTAGCAACAGACCTCCTGAGCTAAAAGAAAAGGTCAAAAGGATGATCATGTAGAAGCAACACTCAGTAACGTAACAAGGTCTAAACCCTGGCAGTGAAAGGGTGAGGCCTCTGTTATTGAGAGATCAGCTGTTCCCTGTGGAATAAACAACATTTCCGTTGATACTAATAGGAACATTCTATGCATATCATTAGAAGAATAGACTACTCCAAGTCTGAGAAATGTGTCTCTGTGTTCACATTTTGTGACCTATTTCTTGGGGATGCTGCCCTGTCCTTTCACTTTCAGAGCTCTGCTTAGGAATGCAAATTGCATGCTTGCATGGTGGTGCTACTTCCTGTACAGTTGCTGCATGCCCAGAGGGCAAACAAGAATGTTTTTGTAAATTGGCACATCAGACAATAAAGGATAGCTGTAGGTAATATGTAACTTGGGATGAACGAAAGGGATAATGACGAAATTCTGTTAATTGCCATTTGGGGTACATTTTTGGTTCCCATGATATTGCGTAGATTGATTTTCCTCCTTCTAATCATTAACTTCCTTAGTAAACTTTCAGAAAATCTGAATTCAATTGGTGTAGACATGATAAATTATTATATATGTATGCTTGCCATTCACACATTGCCATTCGCACATTAATTCCCTGGTTGGCTTTCCCAAATGAGCTGGAAATTAGAAAAGCATCCAAATGCTTTCAAAATAAAATAGAGACTAGAAAAGGCAAAGAGAAAAACATCCTAAAAGAGATTTTGCAGCTGCTAGCCATTGTAGCTCTTATATTTGCTGTCAAGACAAGATTTACTATGAACTACTCAATGTATTTGATGTACAGCCAATGAGTCCAAGGAATATCCTAGGAGTATTCATAAAAATCTGCATATATACCTCACTGTGTTCTTTATAGCTGCTCTCTTACCACATACCGATAGAGCTAACTTTTTATTTTTGTGTGCAAATCAGGTAAGTATACATAGAACTACCCTTTTGCACCTGCAAAACTAGTCAGGGCACTTATGCACATAAGTCAGTGAAACCTAAACTAGGGTTTACAATTCCCTAATCCCCTGTCTAATGTGCAACTCAGTTACTTGTCCACTTAATTAGCTTCAGACAGCTCTGATAACATCAGATTTTTTTCATGTGCATTCATTGTAACTCCTTCAGAAAATTTGGCCTTTTGAGTCAACTACAATGTGATTCTGCTCAAAAACTTACTAAATGTTGAGAATGGTTCCGTTTTTTCTAAATGATAACTATAATTGGCTTTCCCGTTTTCTCTTTTTAAATTTTCCCCTCTTCCATGCTGTGTTGCTTTGCACTGATTGTGATTGCATGTTGCATCCTGGTGTATCCATCGTGATGATGTCACATGGCTTGTTGCTGTGATACCCACCACGCCCCATTCCATCGCGTATGTCCTGGTGGCATAAATGCTCCACCTTCCTGTGAGTTGCTTCTGTGGTTTCCTACTGAAAGTGCCCATGATGCACGGTGCTGCACCTACCACTGTGTCTGCAGCAGCAACACCTGCCACCAGCGTTCCCTTCGCTGCAACAACTACAGGCAATCAGGTTTGGCCATTTATTTCACCCGTTGAGACCTAGATTATGACAACATGTTGGAAACGCACAGTATATGTTTTTTGGATTGGTGAAGACATCAGTCTGTATACTTACGTGTTTCTTAAGCAATTGTCACATTTATTAGTTTTCTTTTTGTACATTCTAGGGTACTGTATGCACTTTCTATTCATCCTAAAGTTAGAGGAAGTTTACTCATTTTTAATCAATGATCAGATGTTATTTTTTTTTTTGTTTTTTTTTTTTT